TATATATATATATCTTTCTCTTTCTTCTCTCTCTCTCTCTCTCTCTCTCTCTCTCTCTCTCTCTCTCTCTCTGTGTGTGTGTGTGTGTGTGTGTGTGTGTGTGTGTGTGTGTCTCACACACACACACTTACTGACTCACTCACGAACTCACACATTCACAGACTGACAGAAGGGGCTCTTGTGATCGAGAGGTAACGGTGCTCGCCTCTCATTCATAGGTCCCAGGTTCGAATCCGGATTGAGACGGGAAACTTTCATCTCTAAAATGTTCTCCTTTCACCTCCTTTTCCTGTTTTCTAACAATGTTCTGTGGTCTACTTTTGTCTCCACTTTCTGCCCCCACCCCCTCACCCCCTTTAACCCCTTCTCTGGGCTCCTGCTGCCACCCGGACAAAATTCAAAATTTCCTACCAACAGAAAATGTTTAATGTGTCCCGCTCGCGCATGTCTTTGTGCACTTGTGAGCGCTGTAAAACATTTACCAGAAAAGAAAAAGACTGACAGATTGACAGCCAGCTAGCCAGCCTCACAGGCAGACAAAGAAACAGACAGACAGACAGGTAGACAGTCAGACAGGCAGGCTGGCATGAACATTAAATTAATCATGAATGAGCAGCAAAATGTACATTTTTACCTTAGAACATCCACCGCTCTCGACAGAAGTCTTGTGCTGTGCTTGCACCGAGTCCAGTGTTGAGGATATTGGCGGCTGGTCTTGGCCATCCTATGAGAACATAGTTTGAAAACATGACAGCCTAAGAGTTGACCTTTTGCAATCACATAAAAAGGGAAAGAAATGAAATAGAAAGATGTAGGTGTTTGGATGAATGAAAAAGATGTTGTCCCTCACCATTAGACTATTTCAAGTCCAAAAAAATCGAGTCAATATAAATTGGATCACACTCGATTCGAACTCCAGTTTCCGAGTGGAAAATCAAGTTCTCAACCTACATCCCTACCCGTATAGTTTTTATTCTTCTGTTTAATCTAAAGTTTTTAAGCTGGTTCACGGGTTTGGTCTTTATTTGACTTAAATGGAAAGTCAGTGTACCCCTTGTGTATTTATGAACACACACACATACACACACACACACACACGCGCGCGCGCGCGCGCGCGTTGTGTGCTGTGTGCACAGTCTTCCCTTGTGCCTGTGTATTTATATCATATATGATCATTATGATTACAAGTTATATCACTTACTCTTATCGATCTGTATAATTATAAAAGCAGACGACAGCTTATGAGGAACATACAAAAGCGAAAGGCAAAGTTCATTGGACACACAATACGGAACGAAGCATTGGAAAATACTGTAACAACAGGCAAGTTTGATGGAAAGAGAGGCAGAGGCAGACAGAGGGAAAAGATACTGGACAAGCTGACAATATGGCTGGAAACAGCAAGAACAACAGACACCATTGCTGCAACGCAGAAGACAGTGAAGTGGAGGTCCGTGATCGCCCACGCCAGTCGGTAAGGCACCGAAACAATATCATGATAATGATGATGATGATGATTAGTAGTAGTAGTAGTAGTTGTAGTAGTATAAAAGTAATTCAGTCTAATGATAGACCTACTGTTTGTCGTTATGTTTTCTTTTCTGTCACAAAACTGTCGAAACAAATACCTTCAGTTCTTTGTCATCCTGTTTTTGCTCAACACTCTGTAACGAAACTGTCGTCAACTGCCACACTTCTGCTGGAAAAAGGAGATACAAACACAAATTTTGGTAAATGCCAGAGTGGAAAACATAGGGGGCGTAATTTCATATTCATGCTCCTTTTGTAGGTATATAGAGTCAAACTTGTCCAAGACGGTCACCCAATGTTGAGAAAAAAGAGGTTGGTTTGGACAGTGCCATTATTTAATAATATTATTATAGAAAAAAGGCAAGGGGTAAGTGGAAAGTGATTGTTTGTGCAAGTGATTATCTTGGACAGGTAGCCATTAGAGTAGGTTCCACTGTATTCATAATTTGGAAATGGGTGGGTTTTTTTAAAGCGCTTCCGGCATCAAAATACGAAAGCAACACTCTATTTGAGACCATTCTAAGCTCTGGTTATTGTTGTCAGTAGTGTTGTTTTGTGGAAACCACTCACATACTTGAAAATAGAACGAATATTTTAACACTGCAGTCATTCACCTTGCAAAACAGAGATGGAAATGTTTACGACGAGAAAAAGTGACGGTTGTTTCATGCTCGACAAATGTCGCCTTTTAAAGAAAGGAAATGAAAACTAACTTCTTCAACGGTGCTGGGTTAATAAATGCATCTTGATGCACGACTCACCGAATATTATCAAGAATATTCAATGAACCGGCACTCCACAAGCATCCTACAAAAGATTAGAAAGATATAGACAAAATTAACCTCAGAACTGCTTGCAAAAGAAAGGGAGAAGACTCAGCTCGTACATTAGAGCAGACGTTGACCCATATACGAGGTGGGGGGGGGGGGGGGTTCAAGAAGTCTTTGGTCTAAATATGAAGGAATAAAGATATAGCTTTGTAACTTGGCATACATACTTTTATTCCTCTACATAGTCAGCGTGCAGAGTAACACATTTCTGCCACCTCTCTTTGACCTTCAACAATCCTTGAGAAAAAAAGACACAGAATTGGGCCCCTAACCAGTCGTCCAAAGCTTGAATGGTGTCCTCATTGTCATGGAAACGACGTCCTTTCTGTGAATTTTTAAGATAAGGAAACAGAAAAAAGTCTGAAGGGCCTAGGTTTGGTGAATAAGCAGGGTGTGGCAGTGTTTCAAAGCCACGCTGTTCTGCTGTCTGAACTGCTTGTTGTGCCCCATGCGCAGGCGCGTTGTCATGAAGTAGGAAGACTCCATTACGAAGTTTTCCACGCCTTTTTCTCACCAATTCGGACCGCAATTTTTTCAGCAAACCCGAATGGTAGTCCCCTGTGACTGTTTTTCCATTTTCCAGGTAGTCAGTCATGATTATCCCTTCACAATCCCACAAACACGACAGCATGGCCTTTCCACTTGACGGTGTTACCTTTGCCTTCTCTGGCAAGGGAGAAGAGAGGATTCTCAATTACATGGAGGACATTTTTTTTATCTGGATCAAAATGATAAATCCATGTTTCATCCATAGTCACCATGTTGTTGGCTTTTTTAAATTGTGTCATTGGACTCAATTCGAAGGAGAGTTTTGTTGGACTCAACCCTCTGCTTCTTTTGCTCACTTGTCAAAAGGCGGGGCACCCTCCGCGCAGACACCTTATTCATGTTAAGGTGGTCATAAAGAATCGTTTCGATTGACTCTACTCTGTTTCCCGTTTCACTTGAGAGCTGTTTAATAGTTATGCGTCTGTCTTGTAAAACCAGTTTCTTCACTATGGATTCTTTCTCTTCATTTACCTCAAAGGATGGGCGCACTCCACGATCTTCATCCATCACCGACATGAATCCAGATTTGAATTTTGTGACCCAGTATGTCACAATATACTAACGAAGACATTTGCCACTTTAAAATTGGACCATTTCCTGAAAAATGTCCGAAGGGGATTTTCCTTGTAAGTGTAAAAACTTGACAACTTTACTGAGCGATATTTCAACAGGTACCAGCAAAGAAAAGCCAAACGTTTAAGTGCATGGTTTCATTGAACACACTGACTAGTGTCTTGTTATTGTCGGTGTTTCCCGAAATTTGCCTGGCGTGTTCAAACAAAATTGTCTAAAGGCTGGCAAAAGTTCATTACTCCACCATGATTCCTCATACCCAGACCAAAGACTTATTGACCCCCCCCCCCCCTCGTACAATGCATGGACAGGACAATAATCTACAAGAGCCACCAAAGCATGAGAAAGTTTTCTTTTCCGCTTCCAATGCAACGGTTTGCCACAAGACTTACCCTTTTATTTTCACTTTCCTGGTAGCTTTAAAGTGATAACATTAGAAAACAACATTAGAAATAAAAACAACAAATGTCATCTAATACCAAAGACTAGACTTACAATTAATGAAAGAAAAGAAGCGATCGGCCATCGTTCAAGGTTACCATGCCTCCCGAATCTCACAAATTTAGTTCTTCAACTTTCATGCAACACGTACAAAGCTAACATGTCTTGAGCAATACGTTCATCGTTCAAGGGTGCGTCTTTTCTTCGACCTGATTTGACAACAAAACATTTTAATCTCTGGTGGGTTAATCCAATGTGGGAACACTTACAAACATAAATTGAGAGAAAAGCGTTCAAGATCTTCGAAGTGTATTCGAAGTAAATCTTCAAAAGTCAAAAGGGATGGCAAACAGAAATAGCAATACGTCACATGCAAACACGGATGGTTTGTACGCAGAGTAAAAGATCCCAAGCCAGCAAAAGTTCATTGACATTTTTTATCATGATGGTCAACAATTTAAATTGTTTGCTTACTAACCTTTCACCTTTTGTCGTTTCTTTCTGCTTGTAGTAGACGTCATTGTGGATTTCAACCTTAGACGATTCAGTTCGGCTAGTTTGTGGACGTAGAGAAGGATATATCCGTTCTGTTTTCTGTTATGTCAAGAATATGAAACCGAAAACGTTGATAAGCTCACATAAGATGAGTACTTTACTACTATCAACACACCACGAAGCAATGTTTTGAGTTCATGAGGTTTGTTAAATATTTAGATATTATTTTGATATATAAATCAGTATCTAAGTTTACTTGATCCAATCTCGTATGCGAAACAGATTATGCAGTGTATCTTAGATTATTCTTTCTGATCCGATCTCTCTCACACTGCTTTACTGGAAAATTTTGAAGTTGGATATGAAAAACAAATCAAAACATTACTTAGTCTTTTTAAGAACGTTAGCCATACCGGCATTCTTTTCGAAATTGAAAGGAAAGAGGAGTCTGTATCCGAGGGGGGGGGGGGGGGGGGGGGGCCGATTAATATAAATTTTTTTATTTTTTATTTTAAGCTGTGGCTGGTCAGATGTTTCTCTGAAGTGTAGAGAAGTTAAGATCGATTAGCCCATTCCAAGACTATGTGGGGAAAGTCCACCATTCTTTGTTCTTCTTGTTTTATGATTACACCAGCGCACTTGATGCAAGAATCATTTAATGATTTGTTTTGTTCGTCTTGTTTGCTGGAAGTTATAATTCATGCTTGCCCTACCACTCAATTATTTGATCTAGATGAACATTTTGATGAGAGGAAATTACTTATCTTTTTATTATATTAGAAGCATTTAATTAACTCCGAGTTTTTTATTTTCTCTATTAGTGTAATGTTGTTCCCGTGGGCGATTGGAGGGTGTTACAGTTACTGGTAAGTTTACTTTCTTTACTTTGTTTTCTTCTGTCTGTCACTCCTACTTTTATCCCAGCACTAGATCTAGATCTAGATCTAGATTCTAGATCTAGATATCTAGGCTGGATTCTAGATCTAGATATAGATATCTAAATGGCCATTATTATTGTTGATGGGTTCGTCTTTACTAAAAACAAATATTATTTTATTCCTGCAGTAAGGGCTCACCGTTTAAAATCCTTACATTGTTACCCTCCCGTATGTGGCAGTCTTGAATTGACTTTGGTAATAAAGGTTTCAAAAACACGTTGAATCTTTCTCAATTTTGATAAGACAACTTCCTTTTGGGCTCAGTAATATGCAAACAACAACTTATTGTACTTTGCGGTTTGTACCGAATGACGTAAATTAGCTTCCGCTAAACGTGTACATCTATTTCCGGGGAAAGATAATAAATTGGAATTATCATTTGCACACCATTTTTAGCCTACATATTACATCTAGAGTCTAAGTTCCGTTTTTCAAAAACTGCCCTGGTCCAGTCTAGTGGTTTCTGAAAACATACCAATCAATTGAAAGTTTACTTGTAATTGACTTAATTCAAAAGCAAACAAAAGTATCATTTGAAGGTTGTACTTATTTTTTTAATCTGTTATGGTCATTTTTTATTTTGACACAAGTTTAGGAATAATGGTAACGTAATCATTAATTGATTAAAAATTGGACAAAGGCTGTCTGCTGATTGGCTGGTGGGTCCCCGAAATTTACTCAGACCGAAGAGGTCCTTGTCTCTGACTCACTTTTTACTTTTAACCGAAGATAATATCCTCTTTCAGATATGATAGTGGGTGAAATATCCACAAAAACGTGGTATAGTCGCGAAGAGAACTCACTGAATGGTTTTATTTCCAGTTATGACAAAAAGACCCTTTTATTTTGCCCCTCCTCCCCCCCACCACATTGTCCTTGTAGAAAAAAAACACACTCTTTTAATAGGAAAACAGTTTAGTTCAGCGAAACGCAAGTGAGTGGTACACAACACATAGAGAGCTACACACTTACCATTTTTGAAGAAGTGATGTTTATGTGTAAGTGTGTGTGTGTGTGTGTGTGTGTGTGTGTGTGTGTGTGTGTGTGTGTATCTGTCTGTCTGTCTGTCTGTCTGTCTGTCTGTCTGTCTGTCTGTCTGTCTGTCTGTCTGTCTGGAGGTGTGTGTATGTGTGTGCGCGCTCACAAAGTTGTGTTTGTGTGTGTGTGTGTGTGGGTTTTTTTTTGTGTGTGTATGTGTGTGTGTGCGTTGGTAGGAACACAGGTCGGGGAGGAAAGAAGTGATAAAAGCATCGTTTTGTTTATAAAATACCCAATTATTCTTGAAAGAAATCTCATCGTTGTTCTTTCTCTCTCTCTCTCTCTCTCTCTCTCTCTCTCTCTCTCTCTCTCTCTCTCTCACCGTCTGACCATAAGGTAACTGTTTTTTGGTTGATGTTGATCTCTCGTTTTGTGACAAGTGCAAAAAACGTAAACATTTAAGTATATTATATTGTGTGGTTTGTGTGTTGTTGTTGTTGTTGTTGTGTGTGTGTGTGGTAGCGTATCCGTTCGAAATGTTCGGAGCCTCGAAGAGTGTGCTCTTCGCCAGGGCCACCGCCTCCCTTGGGTAGCGGGTGAGGCAGTCCAACCTCCCTGAATCATCCCCGAAGAGATGCCACCGCCGGGCCTCCGTGGCGGGGCATCTCTGCAGCCAGTGCTCCAAATCTTGGGGCTCCTCGCTGCACAATGGACATATTGGGTCCGATGTTTTGTCTATTCTATTTTTGTAGGCCCGAAGCCCAGAGAAATGACCGGTCCTGATTTTTGCCAGTAATGACTGGTCACTGCGGGACATAATAAGAGCCTCTCGTTTTAAGGAAAATGCCCTGTATACTTCCTTCGTCCGCGTGTGGCATATAGGGGGGTCTTTTGTAATTAGTTTTATCTGGGCGCACGCACTGTCATAAGTAATTTGGCGGCCTGGACCCGGCAGCGCTGTTGCCAGTTTGGCATTACTGTCAGCGAGATCGTTGCCGAGGATATCGCGGTGACCAGGGATCCACTGAATCGTGGGTTGAGGTATTGCATTATTTATGCGTAGTCGCAATTGGTCGAAGGATGGTGATGTTCCCACTAGTGCCATGCATAGTGATTGACTGTCGGTGAAGATAGCGACCGAGTTGGATGCATCGCACTCTTTGTCAATCCAGTCTATGGCCATTTCCAAGGCTCTCCTTTCTTCCTCGAAAGAGCACGTAAATATGGCGCCTTTCTCCCTCAATGTCTCGACAACGGTAGGGTTGGACGGGTTCCCCGTTGTGATGACGACTCCAGCGCCGCCGTCCGTTGTTCCTGCCCTAGCCGAGCCGTCAGTGTAGATATTGTACTGTGCGCCAAGCTCTCGTGCTCGACGAACAGCAGCACTTTGAATCTTCCCACTGGAGTCACTCCTTCCGCTTATGCCGTACAGGTGGGGAAAAGTGATGTCGGGGTTGATTCCACGTTCCCAGGGCCTGGTTTCGAAGTAAGTGATGGGCCTCCTCTCGCAGTCGAACAGATGTGGGCTCTTTTTGCTGACATCTTCGGCCCTTTTTCGGAAATCCCTGCGTCCTTTTAGGCGTCTGTGCACTTGTTCCGTTGCCGCAATTCGTCGAGGGTGGTCGTTGTTCAGTCGGAGGGCCTTCTCTCTTGATCGGAGACAGTTAGCATTTATGGTGGACAGAATGCTTGGGACCCCCGTTTCAGCTCGAAGTGCCTCGATCGGTGAGGACTGGGCTTGGGTGGTAATCAGTCGCAGACATCTGTTTTGAATCACCTCCAGATTATTTATCAGAGTTTTGCTCAGCCACGGTTGCCAGCTGCTGCTCGCAAAGTTGAGAACACTTTGTATATGAGTGAGGTAGACCTTGCGTAGGTCGTCTTTCCTCCATCCCCATTTTGAGTGCGCTACAGCGCCGAGCATCCTCATCTTCTGTGTGGCCTTATCTATTACTGTCTCAACCTGTTTCCTGAACGTGAGCCTGCGGTCGAGTGTGACTCCCAGGAGTCTTTCGTAGGGCTCATACCTAATTGACGAATTATTTATCGTGATGCACGGCTTCCATTCCGAGTCAGATGTTGCGAGCGTGAAGAATGTTGTCTCGCTCTTTGAGCCGTTTAGCGTGAGTTTCCATCGCCTGCTCCAGTCAGCAACGATGTCCACCGCTCTTTGTGCCAGACTTTCGGCGTCTCGTGTCGTGCGTGATGAAGCGAGGATAGAGACGTCGTCAGCGTAGAGTGAAATTGTGAGATCGTCCGGAAGTAGTTTCGCCAGTTCGTCGATATAAAAAAGGAAGAGGATGGGTGCCAGGACCGAACCTTGTGGGAGACCTTGGTTCATTTTCCTGCTATTACTCAGTATTCCATTGAATTGGACTCTGGCTTGACGATTTTGAAGGAAGTCATTCAGCCATAAAACGTATGTATCTTGGATACCTCTGTCCAGGAGGGTGAGGAGTAGGCGTTCTCGCCAGACCGTGTCGTATGCCTTTGAAAAATCGAGGAAGACGAGTACCGATTTTTCCTTCTTTTGGAAGCCATCGGAAATCTTCTGCGTAATTCTCAGAATTTGGTCTTCCACACATCTCCCCTTCCTGAAACCAGCCTGCAGTTCGGAGAACCAGCCGTTCCGCTCGGCCATGTCGTACAGGCGTTCAGATACCATTCTCTCCATAACTTTGATGACACAGGATGTGAGGCTTATCGGTCTAAACGACGTTAGTTCCGATGCTGGTTTGGCGGTCTTGAGGAGGGGGACAATGATGGCGTCTTTCCAGACTTGTGGGACATCAGCTGAGCGAAATGACATGTTGAAGATGGAGAGCAGTTTCTTCAGCGCCTTGGGACCCAGGTTTTTGAGGAAGGACGGGGGGATGTTGTCTGGTCCGGGTGATCCGCGGGACTTCATCTTTGCAATGGCATTCCTCAGTTCCCCGATAGTGAAATCGGGCTGTTCTGCCCTTGGGTTGTTCCGTAAGTATTTCAGTCGCTGTTTGAGTTGCCAGTTTTCGGCTCTGTCTTCTTTCGACATGTTTAGACTGCAGACGTTCGCGTAGTGGTCTGCGAATATGTCCGCCTTATGCTTGCTTGATGTCACCAATCGCCCATTGTTGTTGTTGTTGTTGTTGTTTTTGCAATAAATCAATCGGGATTACTCTACCTCTTACATTTAACTGTTGCAAGTAAGAAAACGCGTTCGGTTCATAAATCGATCTGTTTATTTTACTCTCAACGGTGTGGCAAGTTGAGTACGCCATTATGATTCTCATCGCCGATGCGAGTCAAAGTCAGGTTGCAGCACGAGTTAATGTTGATTAACAGACAGCTGTGAGGCTGCAAAAACGTTTCCAGACAATTGGAAGTCCCGGACCAACCAAGGGCGGGACCATCAAAGACTACAATCGCACAGCAAGATCGGCGGTTTCGTATTTGCCACCCAAGAGATCGTTTGATTCCTGCCCATGTAACAGCCAGAGACCTCCAGGGAATTTGAGAAACTGTAAGTGCAGCCTCCATTCGATGCCGATTGACAGAAGCAGGAATAAGAAACCGCAGACCCTACGAAGTGGGTGGTTGGCGGGTGCTCTGTTGTGGTTTGCTTCTTCTTTCCTATCAAACACGCATCATCCTTATCTCCCTTCCTTCTTTTTTGTGTTTGTTACTCTC